ATTAGAAGTGAAAGCAAGAACCTCACAACAGACCCTGAATTTAATAAAAGGATAATAAAGGAATTTTATGAGAAACTTTATCGTCATAAACTTGACAAATTAGATGAAATACATAAATTTCTTGACAGACAAAAAATTCTCAAAGCTCAACCAGAAAGAAATAGACAATGTAAATAGTCCTGCACCTACTTTAAAATCCAAGTCCACAATTAAACCTTTTTAACCAAGAACACTCCCAGTCTGAATAGCTTCTTGGTGAGTTCTGCCAAATACTTAGATAAGAAGTAATGCTCATCTGACAGGAGCCTTTCCACAAGACTCAAGAGGTGACATGGTTTCCAGCTGCTCTTCCGAGGCTTGCAGTGTCGGGAAGGAACACTGTGGTGATGATTTTTATTTTTCTACAGGTAGTGTATCATTTTTCTGATTGCTTTCAAAGATTTTTCTGTATCTTTGTTTTCAGATGATTGAATGTGTGTCCGGGAGAATTGTTTGGTTGGGATGGTGGTGATATATATATAATGCCTACTCTTCTCTGAGCTGCTCAGATCTGTGATTTGAGATTTTTGCTAGTTTTGGAAAAGTTTGGCCATTATGTTTTCAAATATTTCTCATTTGAGAATTTCTCATTTCAAATATTTCTCAAATATTTCTCAGTGTCTCTTGTATACATTGATATTCTGATTACATATGTTAGACCTCCTGATATTATTTCAGGGATCACAGATTCTTGGCTGTTTTTCATTGACTTTGTTCTTTAATGCTTCCGGATTGGTAATCTCTGTTGCCCTATCTTTAAATTCACTGTTTTTTTTTTTTTACACTCAGTAGTGTTGAATCTGCTTAGGAATCTGTGAAAGGGATTCTTTATCTCTTGTTAGGATTTTTCTCTGTAGCATTTCCATTATGCTCCAGCTGTCTACTAAAATTTCTCATTTGCCCGTGCATGTTTCCCTCATTTTCTCCTAGGGCTTTTAATGTAATTACTACATTTTAAATTCTTTGTCTGATTGTTCCAACAATGGATCACATCTGAGTCTTGTCCTACTGTCTCTTTGTTTCTTAACAGTGTCTGTTTCTCTCCCTGCATCTTCTCCCGCTACTTTTCCCTCTCTCCTCCTCCTCCCCTTCCTCCTCTTCCCTTTCCTCCTCCTCCTTCTCCTCACTCTCCTCTTCTCCTCCCATTCCTCTTCCTCTTCTTTTTTCTCCTCCTCTCTTCCCTTCCCTTCCTTCCTCTTTCCCCCCTTATATTCCTCCTCCTCTTTCTTTATTGGCTCATAATTTTTGGTTGATTGAAATAAATTGTATTGGTCCATGTTCCCATTGCTGGCACAACATGATTGACACACATAGTTTAAAGGGGAAAATTGTTCATATGGTTTATTTGGCTCAGGGTTTCAGAGGAGTCAGTCCACGGTCAGCTGGTTCCAAGTCTAGAACATCATGGCGGAAGGCTCTGTGGACTAACATGGCCACAAAGCAGAATGAGAGGAAGGGCCTGGGGATAAGAGTACATCCTTCCAGGTCACACCCCAGTGACACACCTGCTCCAGCTGCACCCTCCCCCAAGTATATTCAGCTGTGAACCCAGCAGTATATGAATCCACTGATAAGTGTATCATGCCCATGATCCACTCACCTTCCAGAGCCCCATCATTGCCACATAAAACTTGGGGACATTTTAGATCTAATCATAGCAGCAGGTATTGTGCATAGGCAGTAGAGTTTGGTGAGTAGTGTTGTACCTGAGAAATGGGCCCACCTTTTCTTCTATTGGGCCACTATTTTAGGGGGTGTTTTGATTGGATGAGTCTGGTTGGGAATTGAGCTGGGTTCACTTGTGACCTGTGCACTACAGTCTTCTTTCCTCCAAGGCTGCCTTGCAGTGAGGTTGGGCATAGATCTGTATCTTGGTTACTTTTTCTCTCGTTACTGAGACAAAATACCTGAGGCCCAAAATAAGGAAGGAAAGGTTTATTTAGCTCACAGTTTGTGGAGGTTTCAGTCCATACTTGGCTGGCTCCAAGGCAGGGTGGCACATGGTACAGGGCAAACGTTCATGGTGGCAGAAAAACCTCAAAGCAACAAGAGCACAAGCGAGGAGTGGTGGTAAGCAGCCTCTTTCTCTCCCTTACATATGCAAACTATCCACTCCAGGGTGGACGTAGCACTCACACCCATAATCCCAGCATTGGACCATGAATCAATCATAAACTCTAAAAGCCTGCTGCATGACTACATGAGACTTTGAGGGGACACCTAGACACAAACCACAACAATCTGTATAATCACATTATACTTCTGCTTCTGACTCGCCTTGTGAGCTTTTGGTAGGTTTCTATGCTCTCTCTCCTCCTCTCCTGGTAGACAGCTTGTGATTGAAACTTGATGCTTGCTGGCTTGGCATTGTAGCTGAGGGAATGGGGCTTTTCCCATTGTCCTTTTCCAGTCTCTGTCTCAGACAGGTCTTAGATCAAGAGGACTCAGGAGTGGATTCCAAATGAGTCTCCTCCTCCTGCATCATACCTTTGGTAGGTCTTGCAGAGCAGGAAGTTTTCCCTTCTTTCACTGTTCTGGGTCCAGCCTGGTTCCTTTTGCTTCTCAGAGTAGAGGACTGGGGCTCTACCTTTGCCCTTTGTGGACCACAGGGATGACTGCCTTCCCCCTGGATCTTACCCCATTGAGAGGTGAGGGTGCCATCTGGATGGAGCTCATGACTTTCTTGTAGTAGAGGCCACTCCTGTCTCCCAAGGTCCTACCTCAAGGTCTCCCCCATGTCCCCCACTTTCTCCTCAGCACGTGGTGATGATTTTGTAGAACAGCCTGTGATCTGGTAAAAAAAAACTCTTGTTACCCCCAGGGCCTCTAAGCTTTGCTGCCAGTCCTCATGGAGCCATTGGTACTTCCTCAGGAACCTCAAGCTGAGGTCCCTTTACCTGCTGGGTGGCACTCTGTCCTTGTCCCATACCCCCTCCAGGTGGCTGGTGCTTATGTCTTTGGCTGTCCTGTGAGGTACCCATTTTTCTTTAATTTTTAGTTTCTTTTTTAAACCTTAAGACCATTGCTCTCTAATAGGTTCAAGGAAATAATGATTTTTTTAAGATTTTGCAACATTTTCCTGTTATTGAGAGAGGAGTGACCCTCTCCCTGCTGTCAACATTCCTAAGTGGCAGCTGATGTCCTCCTCGTCAGTGTGCCTTTTCGGTATTATGTAATGGAAAGAACATGTTTTTAGGTCCATAGAACTTTCAGGTTTTCATGTTGTCCCAAATTATTTTCATTTCCTCGCTTCCTTTCCCTTTGATTCTTTTTCATGAGTTTTCTTGTTTCTTCCTCCCAGTGTCTGGCTCACCCTGTCCTTTTTCCCCTCCAGTCATTTCATCTATGTGGTTCTCTTCATGCCACCAGCTCTTCTCGTTGAGTTTATTTTCTTTCAATTTTTTAAAACATATTTCTCCTATTTTTTATTTCTCCTTATTCTTCATGTTTTTGACCCTTGTATAGAAAGGAAAAATGTATTAGTGGGAGCTGGGGATTTAGCTCAGTGACAAAAGCGCCTGCCTGGCAAGCGCAAGGTCGTGAGTTCGGTTCCCGGTACCAGAGAAAAACCAAAAAATAAATAAATAAATGAATAAATAAATAAATAAATAAATAAATAGGAAAAATGTATTAGTGGGAGTTAGTAAGAAAACTTAATAGGATTTTTTAGTAGGTATTTAAGGTTGCACTTTTATCTTTAATTTAAAATATCTCTAATTATTGAGTGTCAGATACTTCTCCAGATAACTTCATGATTTTCAGTGATTCCAGGTACCAGCCACCTCCTTTTAGTGCTGCTGTTTTTGGGCCTTGTATTTCCAGGAGGCTGGTGGACCTCACTACTTGGAATTTCAGTGGATACTTCAGGTCTTGGGTGTCCAGAACAATGGTGGTCATCTTTTCTCTGGGATTCTGCTTGTACCATCATCCCAGGCACTGTGTCAAGACCTTCACTGTTGTTATCATCTTGTAACACTCAGATCCCTCAAGACAGCAACTCTGCCTTTTCTGTTCTTCAAATCTGCCCATCTTGCCATTGTCTTGGTCCCAGCTTGGACCACTGTTTCTTGCTTAGACGATCGTTCATTCTTCCCTCCTGAGGCTGCTGTTCCAGACATACGGCCCCAGAGTTCCTGCTGCCAACTCTACCACCTCTCAAGCTCCATCTGCAGAGGCAGTTGCCAGGCTTGGCATTAGTCTTTGTAGTAACCCTTTGAGCAGGTGAATAACAGTTATCATGAGTTCAGTTGACTTCTGATGTCAGCAGTTATGGAGATCACAAAAGTCAAAAAACAATGTTCTTTCCAAAAGGGAAGATGCAGCTGTATGGTAATCTGCAATGATGCCCCCCATTAGAACTTTCCTATCTCAATCGGAAAAAGTGTCTAAACCTGCCTTTGTTTTTAAATCAGCCATGGTTTCTGACGTCTCTACCTCGATCTGTCCAGTGTGCGCTCTGCACTGCCACTCTTGCTGTATTTGGAATGAAAGTCTATGCTGCTTGACTATGTTGGAAGCCCTGTGCCTGCTCCAGGTCATTCCTTCTGTGCACAGAGGAGGTATGGAACTTAAGGCCGTCCATCTTCTAGTGGCTTCTCCCCAAGGCCACCTCATGCTCTCTCACCCTGCACAAAACCCCCAGAAGCCTCCTGCTGTTTGCAGCGGGAAGAGCACGTTCCTTGGCATGGCATCTATGCCCTTCATCCCCTGCTCAGCATCAGTCTCAGTGCTCACCCGAACCCCACTCACTACACTCTTCCTGCTAACGCCATCAGCCAGTCACCTACTTTGCGAGCGCCTCGTACTTTTATATGGTTTCCCACATGTGGCCATCTTCGCACCCTTGGACCCACTCATCTTCCCTTCTGCTGCTGGATTCCCCCTTCTACTCCTGCCTTCTCCTTCCAGCCCGCCCCCCCATGGCGTCCTCAGCAATCACAGAGTTCCTTGTGTGTAGTTGGTGTTTAACACATATTTATTGAATAAGTAAATGAGCAGTTCTGCAGCCAAACTGAAGTAGTTTTAAGATTTTGTGTTTAGGACCAAAAATAAGAAAATCTCCAGATACATAAACAAGCAGCGAGTCATTGTTATGACCTGGAGGGAGGGTACAGGTGCTGGGGCAGGCGTGTGGGAAGCCTGGTACGCAGGGTGCCCTGCATCCTGCTTCAGTGCCAAGGATACTTCCTGAGACACAAAGTGGCCTGGAGGGGTCGGCAGTCTCTGAGCAAGGTCCCTGAATGCCTCTGCTACCAGAAATCACTCTGAGAAGATGTGGCAGGTGGGCCAGTGACACATCCCCGTTGACACCATCACAGATTCAGGAAGCTGTCTCTGCATTAATCAGAGTGAGTACAGTTGCAACTGGTGGGCACATTTCAATCTTGGCCTTCTAATACATGAAATGTTTACTTAAAGGTCAACAGAGAAGGCTCTCTTCCGCTTGCCAAGTCTTGTTTTATATCTCCATGGTCAGAAGCACTTAAGGGGCAAATGCATAAAATGATTATTGAGGGTAATTTCTTTTTCTGCATTCAAAACAAAGCCAACACCTTGTGAAACGGAGTTGTTTTGGGGCAGTGATGTACATATTGTAGCATTTCATTGAATCTTTTCCATTTATGCACTTCCCTCTGTGAAGGTTACTGACAGTTGATTTAAAATATGTAATACTTTAGTGGAGAAGCATACATAAAGTCACTAAATCAAATTTACCGGGAACATCAGCTCAGAAACATTAACCATGTGGACAATCTCCAAGAACAAGAGGCCACCACACCGCCATATATCTCCTCTTCTTGAGATTGTGCTAAGTGACTCACTCTTCTTGCAGTGAGCCAAGACTATGAGGCTCCCACTGGAATTCTGTCTTGTGTTTAGTGGCAGTTTCTTTGTGCATCAAGAGGATGGAGGAGAGTGAGTTTTACAGAAGAAGTGTTAGAAACCTCTCTTTTGAAAAGGTACAAAGAGAAATCAAAAGTGTGCTTTGCCACAAAAGTAATGCACAGGTGTCTGTTTTTTTCTGTGTCTTGCCTGAGACTGTACATTTCTCCTGAGAAGAGTCCTTGGAAATACTTTGTTCTGTCAAAAAGAGGGAGCCAGCATCCCACACATTGATGGATCATGGGATGGCCTTGCTATCCCTGGGCTTCAGTCCACAGTCAGCTGGCTCCCAGGAAGGGAGGGGAAGACAGAGGTCGTGGTGGAGGACAAAGTGGTGGCCTACGGTAGCCGGGAGGCAGAAAAACAAGAGAGGACCTCTGGACAAGGCTACAGCCTTCCAGGTCACATCCCAGCAGGCACCAACCAGCCCGCCCCCCCAACGGCAGTCAGTCATGAACTCACCCACGAGTGGATCTGCTGCTGGGCACGCACCCATGATCCAATCACTTTCCATACCCATGAGACTTGGGGGATGGTTGAGGTCTAAAGCACAGCAGGGAGTCTTCAGTACCCTGTAGTTACTGTCAAGGAAGAAGAGGCCACCCTGGGAAGCAGAGCCCGGTGATTAGAACAGTGTGCTGGGCAAAGCCAACTTTAGTGGTGCAGGAAGAACAGCCTGCAAGGGGGAGTTCAGAGAAGTAGCAGGAAACTAGAAAAGACTGGACCCAGGAAATAGGGGAGGATTTGAAGAGGCTTCCACATGGCCAGATACAGTGGAGATGGGAGCGAAGGAAGGACAGGGAGGTCCCTGAAATGGGTCTGTGGGTTTGCGGGAGTGGTTTTGGGGTGTACAGGGCATGGAGCACAGTGTTTTCAGGTCACTAGGAGAGAGAAGGCTGGAGAGCCAGACTGGTTAGCTAGAAGTGGTGGCACTCAAAATGTGACCCCCTCACCGGTGACCTCAGGGTCTTCTTGCTATAGGAGCAACAAGCAGCTCGAGAGCGAAGAAAAAGGCTTTGGAATCTTGACAGTTAACGGACAGTGTCAACTTGAGTAAGAAATAACCAAGTTAATTGGGTCGGCGTGGTTCTAGGTGTGGAAGACCCACCTGTGGGAGGATCATGGGTAGAATAGTATAAAATGGTATAAAAGGGAAGCTATATAAAGCCCTTCTAGACCTTGCTGCTGACCAGAAAAATCTACATTTGTAACCCCATGGAAAAGTTATTGGAATTCCAGCGAGTTCATTTCAATCTACCACTTTCAGTGCAACACATGGCAAGAATAAAGACACTAGGCCATATTCGTAGTTGTGGGCAGCCGAGGGGTCCTGAGTCCAGCTAGTGTGAAGGCTGACTGGAACGAAGGCTTTGACCCAGGGCCGAACCCAGGTCTTATTAATTCGTGAAGAGGGGAGTGGCTCAGGACGAGTAGCTGTGGCAAGAAATACGTGAGTGCCATAAGCTGGGCTAGGTAAGAGGCCTGAAATCACCTCCGCGATAGGCAGAGACAGATATGCAGAAAGAGGAATCTTCATAACACAATTTGAAGGTCATGCTTCAGCTTTGATGTGTAATTTTTTATGCCCTGAGATGCCTTGGCTTCTTCCTCGAGGTTCAATCCCAGCCAGAGCGTGCTGCACTCCACCCCGCTCACACATGTTATTTGGGAGCTGTAGGCAGGGCTCACACATGTTCGTTGGGGGCTGTAGGTGGGGCATTGCTGCCTTCTTGCCTTGCTTCAAAGACTACACATCAACACCTTGACAGGACCCATTTGGGTTGCTTAAAGCCAATTGAGAGGATAAAGAGAAAAGCTAGCCAGCTTTGCACAGGCAAATATCAACACAGGGAAACAGGGCCAGGTTTAGTCAAAATGGAGATGATTGCTGTTCTCTCAGGGAGAGTCATACAAGTGGTCCTCCATGGGAAAAGGAGAAAGGCTGCTTCTGTTTCTTGGGAGGAGACCAGTCTGCCTTCACCATGTTGCTATAGTTTGTTCATCTTCTTTGGGATACGGCACACCATTGCATGCATGTACCATAACGTTTATTCTGCTATGGACAGATGTCTCAGTCATTTCCAGTGTGGGGCTATCAAAAGTAGGGCTGATGCTAACTCTGCTGAACATGTCTTTTGGGAAACATATGTCCTTATTCTAAAGGGGAATATACTCAGAGTTCTAGGCCACAGGATAATGTATGGACCTTGAGCTTAGTAAGCACTATCAATTTCCAGAGTGGTCACATCAGCTCACACTGACACCAACAGAATAAAGGTGTTCCCATTTCTCCATAGCCTCCTCCTGTGCACGCAGAGGACCTGTTTTCTCAAATAGCCATGCCAGAGCATTGCATTCCCTGATGACTTGTGAACTTAATCACTTTTTCCTGTTTTTGTTGACCATTTTTATATCCTCTTTGAAGTTTCTATTGAAAGTATTAAGCCTGCTGTTCTATTGGATTGTCTGCTTGTTTTCTGATGGAGTCTGTGTTTTTGAATTTCAAAAACCCTAATTTCTGTGACTTAGGGCATATAATTGATAACTAAGCAAAGTGTGCCAAAGAATAACTGCGGAGAGGCTGCGTGACTGAGACCTTGTCCAGGAAGTAAAGGCTCACTTTACATAGCCTTAAGTTCAACAACAACTGCAACTACAGAAGGTCCATGTCACTATGACACTAGCAAGCAGTAGACGCTCCAGGTGAACGTGTACCTGCTCTGTGAGATGCTGCGCTACTCCCTGAGGAAAACATCCTAATGTGATGAGAGATGTTTGGGGAAAGTGGGTGGTTAGAAAGAGTAAAACAGTCATATTTATTCCTAGTCAGACTGAGAGACTTAGAATGCACATACCCAGGAAGAATATAGGATTATTTAAATTTCAGTGTTATTTTTAGAAATTCCTACTGTTGAGAAAAACAGATAAACAGCACGACTTAAGTTTCAAAGTAATGAATCAACCCATGTTGTTCCCAATTTACTAATTATCTTCTTGCATCAGAGATGAATTGTTCCCTAATGAATGACTTGCCATTTTCAAATATTGATTAATTATATTAAAAAGTTCATAATCCCCTGATTTCTTTGTGTAGATTGGTTTTGATACACAGACTCCAGTTACACATTCTGGGTGGGGCACCCCAAAATCAAATAAGGACATTGTTGATGGAACTATTACACAATCCATGCTAATTCTGGGAAGAGATGGAGGAAAGAATTACAAACCCAAGGAATAAAAAACAAATCCCCTGCATTTGCATGTCTACTTCTATGATTTTTAAGTTGAAGGGCAGAAGGGAGGGAAGAAAAAAAGAAGGAGAGGGAGAGGGAAGGAGAGAGAGGAGGAGAGGAAGAGCAGGAGGGAGAGGGGGAAGGGAGCGAGAGAGAGAAAGGGCGAATCTTATCTAATGACTGTTTCCAATCCCTCAATTCTTGACAAACTTACCTCGTGGTACTGGGGTACCATCAGCTGCCACACTATGTAGCTATATTTCCCCTTGTTGTATAAAGCATTTACAAAAGGAATAAAACTTCTTTATTTTAGGAGCTGACCTATTTTCTAGTCTTTCTGAACTGTGTAGGTGTAGTTTTCCAGGGACCCACCTGTGTGTCTTTAGACCTTGTTCCTGCAGTTAGGAGGAGGGCCCTGCAGCCTGCATTCTCTGCCATCCTCAAATGGGGCTGTGCCCGGGCCAGGCTCTGACTGCAGACTGCATTTGTCCTGACCTGGGCTAGGATCGTGCAGCGTGGAGCGGACTGGCAAAATTCGGAGGTCGAGAGTAAGACTGCGGTGAGGTCTGTGAACAGTCGTGAGGAGCACAGTTAATGCTTGACTAGTACTTCTTCTTTGTCTTAAGAGTTTTATTTTGCTTATTTAATTTATTCATTTTCACTTTCTTATGAGTCCATGCTTACAGTGAATGATTTACACTCATCGTGGGGAGCTGGTGTGTGTGCACCTCACAGCTTTACCCTCTGTCCCTCCGTTTTCCCTCTTCCTCCCTCCCTAAATCCCCTTCGCATCCCTGAAAGGCCTCCCTGATTCCTGTCATTACCTTTTGCTTTTATTTACACTAAGGTCTACCTCCCTGTTTTGGTTTAATTTTAAACATTTTTATCAGCCCTTGTTTGCAGTACATAATAATGACTGTCATTGTGGGGCTGGGGTGTCACGCAGCACCACTCTGTCGTCCTGGTCTCCCCTCTCCCGTCCCGCTGTGCCTTGTGGCTTTCATTGACAATACTTCTTAGAACGCCACTGTACACATTCTAGATAATCGTTGTTTATTGACATGTGTAAAATGGGTATTTTATTTCCATGACTTAGCTTGTATCACCAGCACACAGATTCATTAGAACCAAAATATTTATTGCCATCTATATCACACAGTTTCTCTTATGTGAGAAACACAAAGTACAAGTAAATTTTTTTTTTTTTTTTCGGTACCGGGAATCGAACTCACGACCTTGCATGTGCCAGGCAGGTGCTGTGCTGCTGAGCTAAATCCCCAGCCCCTAAGCTAAATCTTTTTTTTTTTGGTTTTTCTCTGGTACCAGGAACCGAACTCACGACCTTGTGCTTGCCAGGCAGGCGCTTTTGCCACTGAGCTAAATCCCCAGCCCCTATTGCCATCTAAATTAAAATAAGGAATGCTTTTCTCTCCCCAACAGATTCCGAAAAATGCAAATGGTCTTGTCCCCCTCTACCCTTGCAAGCTGGAGGGCCAACTTCCAAATATGCACACAGGGGCTGAAATGATAGCAACACTAGAAATTTATTACAGTGATGCACCAGTTACTCTAAATGGCTCTCTCTGGGTCCCAGGCATAGTTGCAGTGCTTCACAAGGGAGTCCTGTGTCCCCTTCACAACTTTAGGAGGTCAGTGGCCTTTAGCTTCCCCTCAGGAAGAGGGAGAACCTCAAATTACAGTGACATTGTTTCCAAAAACCTAGTGGAATAGGAGGCACGGAACAGAAATTAAAATGTATGGGTGAATGAGGAGGGCGATCCTTCCTCCATAGCTACGTTCGTGGACTGATGTTCGTGCCCACTGTAGACAGGTTTTGCCTTCTTTATTCCTGGCAGATTAGCTCTCATTTATTGAACAGTCCTAGTGCTGGACACTGGATAGCAGGCGTGGCGTGCATGTGAGAGGATTATCCTGAACACTACGTGGTCCTGAGAGTGATTTTTAGTATGCGCATGACAAAGGAAAAACATCCCGTTCTGTATGGAGTGTACCATTATCTTCATGTTCCGTCTGTCACACTCTAAAGCTAAACCTTTGGCATTTTTGAGTCATCTGGGAGAAAACCAAAAGTTAATAGAACTTGTTAAAAGAAAGCAAACTTTCCTTCCTTGTAACACTTCACTGTTATTTATTAATCAAGCCTTATTAAGTGTTAACTTGCAAAATTACAATCCAGTGTATTAATGGAAAAGGAACAGAGAGGTTGAATCCTGCACACTTACACAGCTGGTGGGATTTTTTCTGTTGGAATCATTCACTGGACTGTGAGCACCACTGATCTTTTACTACCTGCCTTTACCTGCACATGGCCCCCACTTTTTACTGGTTGGCTATTATGGAAAACTCTGATTTGGGCTGAATTTACATTCTGTTCATTCCAAACAATGTTCGTGCAGCCTCTCCCTGAATGAGGCCTTGAATGAGTTGAGTCAGTCAGCCTTGAGTTCACATTCACAGAGAGAATCGCCCTCACTGGTCACCGCCCAGCCACCACCTACAATTGTACACATCCCCAAACACAGAGGCCACTTCTAGGCGTGCTGGTTGGTCGGGCCTCAGACTGAGGCTGAGAAACTGGTGTCTCAACTTGGGTTCCTCATAAGCAGACTCAGCAACGGTGGTTTGTGTAAAAGTGATCACCAGGAAGCGTTCCCAGGAACACCTAGCAGGGGAGTAGGGAAGTGGAACTAGCCAGGAGCACATCCTATGAAGTCCCTCAGAGAGTCTGGGGGAGGGGGCCTCCCTCAGGCAAGCTATTTAAATGAGAGAAGGAGAGAGAAAGAGAGAGAGAGACAGACATAGATAGATACAGAAAGAGAGAGGTGTATGTCTATGTGTGTGTGTGTGTGTGTGTGTGTGAGAGAGAGAGAGAGAGAGAGAGAGAGAGCGAGAGCTCTCTAATTCCAAAGGTACCCTTTGTTTGTGGTGAGTTAATTTCTCTCTGTGCACCTAGAACAGTACGTGTCCTGTACCAGCTTTGGGAGAATTGAGAAAATCATCACTCGAGATCTGTGTTTTGAGGTTTGGAAGGACCCCTAGCTGCGAAGGTGCCCCATGTCAGAGATGTAGTCTGTGGGCCTATCTCCACCAGTTGCTGGCTAAAGACTGTGCCCAGAGGTGATACAGCTTCTTCTCCCTTTCAGGGTCCTCCTCCCGCGGACTAAATGACTTCTTCCAACCCGGGGCAGAGGGCTGCAAGGGACCTGGGTGCTGGCCGACGAAGCACGGTGGGAGCTATGCTAGGTGGGAGTGGTGGTGGGATCCAGTGGTGATGGGCTGGTGACAGTTTCTAGAAAATCAAGAAGAAGGCTGATATGATGAGCTACAGCTCTTCCTGTTGCCGTGGGACCCTGGTCCCGCGCCTCCTGCCCTGCTCATCTGTGTTAGTCTTTCCCCTGGCAGCCGCTCTGCAGACCTGGTGGCTGCTGCGTGGGTGACCCACGTGGTCACCATCCTGGGGCTGGAACCTGATGACAGTGCCACCCCTGGGCTCATCCATTGCGGTGAAACTGGGCAAAGACCAGAGATGCCTGAGAGGGTTCTCTGAGTTCCAGGTCTTCATCCTGGCCCGTTAGATAGCAGCAATTCTACCTTGTCACTGTAGTCCAAGTCCTCACCCTGGCCCTTTTGGCTCTCTGTCTTCCGGCACTAACTCCATGTGGATTTTGTGGGTGCCAGAATGTCGAAGTGAGAAGGCATGCAATGGGAAATGCTTCCCAAGCATTCCTTACATCCTTGAAAGTGGTGTTAGCCCATGGTTTCCTCTGAATAGGACATTGTCTCTGATGTCCAGTCCTCACTAAGTTGAAAGTTGAGCATCGGAATTAGGGCGCTGGCTTCTTCTCCCATGATGGCCCTTCTGTCGCAGCCCTGGTGAATGACATAAAGCTCCTCCACCTGAGGCACACATCGCTTGCTGTGGGCACCATTTCTCCAGCCCTCCAGGAACTGTTTTCACCATTGTGTTAGCGTTGGCTCAGGGCCTTTGCCCGACGCGGGAGCAGAGTCAGGGAAGGAAGAGAGCCTCTGTAGGACCAGCTCCCTCACAAAGCCCACATCCTGACCACCGCGCCCCAGTGTCCTTTCTGAGCCATGCACTCCTGGCTCCTGCTAGGAACACCAGCACCCCCGGTAAGGCATCATTCCCTCACACATTCTCATCTCCTAGTACTGTCACGCTGGGGATTAGGTTTCAACACACAAATTGTGGGGGTACAACGTTGTGTCCTCCTGGACTTTCCACTTGATCCACACTGAGACTCATCTCTATTCATGGGTTTTGTACCCAGCAGGAAAATAGGAGTGGATCTCAGGGGCCCCAAATACCCGAATCCCACTTCACAGATGGGGGTCTTGATTATCAGTAGTCATGCTACAGCATGCTAAGGGTTGTTGTCACTTTATTCAACTTCAACAGTGGATTCTTCTTGCCTTCTCATCAGCAAATGATCCCCTTTCAGAAACCTATCCTGAGAGTCTGCTTTCAAAGAGCACATGTGGTCCCAGCTGTCTCAGACAGGATTCTCCAGAAGTAGCACTCGAGGTAGAGTTCTGTGGAAGTGATTTATTGGGAACCGTCTCTAGGAAAAGCTGATAGGGGAGGGGAGCCTCCGAGAAGGAAGAGGCGATGTGCGCTTTAATGAGAAAATGACAGCGTCGTGGTTGGGATCAGAGTCACCCCGACTCTTGCGCTCGGAGGCATGTGTTTGGGAAGGTGTGCTGACTCGCTGGTAGGAGGCGGGCTCTGGGGGGAAGGAGCGGCTGGCTGGGATGTGACCCAGGAGCTGCCTTCCCCGCTCCTCCCTTCTCTCTGTTTCCGGACCACCACTTTTCATCGTCTATGCCCCCCACTCTGTCCCTTCAGCATCTGAGGACCAAGGCTTCTCAGGCTGTGAGCCGAAGTTAACTTCTCCTCTCAGTTGTGTGTGTCAGGTTTTGCGTCTCACAACAGGAAAGTGACCAAGACAGAGAGGAGTGAGCTTGGTCTCCCAGGGGACCTCAGAAAACAGCACAGGTCACACTTAAGGGTGTCCTGATTAGGGCCAGGGAGTTGGACGATTATCTTGCCACAATCAGGAACTGCACTGAACTGCACTCAGGAACTGCACCTGAGGGGGCGTGCAGCCTGGCGCCTCTGGCTGGCTGCATGCACCCATGAGAGTGCCTCCTGGCACCAGGGCAGCCCCCCATGAGGACAGGCAGCTTCTGGCCCAGAGCACTGGGAAGTCCCCCTGGGAGCTGGCGCTTCTGAGCAGTCGCAGGAGATCCTGGGGACAGGGTGGAGCACTGACAGGTCCTGCTGCTGTCCATTCCTGAGTATTTATGGAAGATTCGTATGCAAGGAGAGCCTTTATGCTGAGCAATCTCCCTGGCTTGCATTTTTAATTTTTAATTTTGAGGCATTTCTATAGAACAGAATACATTTATCAATTTCTCCTCTAGTTTTTTCCTCCACACTATTTATATTATGATTAGAGTCGACTAACACAAATTTAGGCGTGTGTCAGCTTTTTGCCTCAGTAGTCAAATCGTGTCTCAGTGAGT